CCCTGCCCCAAGGGCACACTAAGACAGCGATTGAGACTAGGTGTGGTGGCACATGTCTATAATCTCAGCATTTGGGAGGCTGAAAACAGGCAGATGCGTAGTGGTTCAAACAAGTAGCGAGACCCTGGACACCCTGTAGATCCTTCCCTAAAATAAAAAAAAAAAAAAAAAAAAAGGGAGGATGGGAGCGACCATCCCTACTCTGTGGCCAGACACTGCAAGGCTGACTTCATGGAGGGTACAGTAGCAAAGCAGCGCTACTCTGCTGCGTGCCCTGGTTCAAGAAGATTCTCATTGGTCAGCAGTAGAATTGGTGGTCAAGTAGCAACTAAGCATGCACCAGGTTGTGCACAGCAGAGGCCCAGATGATGGAGCAGAACTCTCTGGGGTGGGTGGGCCGGGGGAGCTCAGCCGAAGGCCTTGGCCCTATACCATCTCCAACAGACAGCACTCTCTCCAGAGTTGAGGTAGTGCTCAACCACACAGCGCTGATACACAGGGTGAGGACAAGGACTGAGGGGGAACCCAGGCACAGCCCAGGAAGGAAATCCGGAGACTCTGAACCAAGTTCATGGAAAAGAAACGATGAACTAAGAAGCACCTCTCATGGATGAGGTGAAATTTAAAAAGTTGTGCCATGCATGATGGTGCACACCTATAATCCCTGGCATCCTCAGGAGGCTGAGGCAGGAGAGCTGCCACAAGTTTGAGGCCAGCCTGGGCTAAACAGCGAGTTTAGGGGCAGCCTGAGCTATGTGGCAAGACACTTATCTCAAAAAAACAAAAAAAAATGTTCTGAGTCAACTCTGAGTTTGTCCTGGAATGAGTGGGTATGATATCCTCAGCTGATATGGCAGATATAGCATCCAGTTCCGAAGTTAATGGTGACAGCAGTGCTGCCTCTGGGGACCAGGACTAACTGGCAGGACTCCAGGCCTTGCTCCACACTGAGCAGGAGCCAACCCTTCCAGGCACCAGACGGGAGACTCAGCCACCTCACGGGGGCCGTGCATCCTGCCTCATGTCACTCACCTCTCCGTCAGCTCCAGCGTCCTCTTTCCCACACTGCTACAGGGATGAGCACTCTGGTCCCCTGCCTCAGCTCCGCACCCTGCGGACACATCAGCACCGCAGCTCAAACCCAGCCTGCTGCCCTAACTTGCGCATCCACCAGTACAAATCTCAAACCCCAGCGTGGACTCTCACTCATCCAGAGGCTGTCTGAACCATCTCTGCTGAGTTACAGCAAGAACAGCGTGGCCAGAGTTAGCAACCTCAATTTGGAAAATGCCTAAACAGAAGTAAATAACACCAAGAACCCCTGTGCTCCACTCACACGTCACTCACTGGAGAGATGCCAACAGGCTCTTTGTCCCACGCAAACCCCATTTCCTCTGTGGCCCACAGATCTTCCCAGCATGTTTCCTTGTTTAAACCTGTGCCTGCTCTCAAGAATTGCTCAGACTAAGGTGCCAAATGCACCTTACTTTTCAAAATAATGTCTTGTTTTGAGAGGCAATGACAGATGTTAGGCTGTATCTGAGAAGCACTGCTAGCTCTTCCTTCCTTGACCCTCCAAGGCTATAAAATAAACACAATTCAAAACCAGGCTCTTCTGCAAACACTGACCTTGAAACTCCAGCCTCGAGCCATGTTTATTAGATGACTCAAGCAATAGCCACCATTTAACAACCTTGAATATTGCAATTCCTTTCAGAAGGACCCTCTGAGGGAGGGGCTACGAACCCAGAGGCAAAATTCCTGTTTGCACCTGGCTCTGCTCACCTATATCTCAAAACAAACTGTCGGTGTAGGAGAGAAATGCACTCTGAGCCAGCAGGCCCAGGAGAAATAGGCATCAGATCAAAAAGGAGCAGCAGAGGGACCAGGCCATGTGGGGGAACTGCGGCCAAGTGGGGACAGTCCCTGCGGGCACGCTGCCAGCTCTTCCATCTTAGCAAATGTAAACAACTGCTTCTGTCAGTCCTGGCCTGCACTCCCCCGGAGGCCTGAAGAACCCCTCCCTGCCAGGACACTGCCCTGGCACACAGAGCTGCTCACTCATGTGCCTGGACAGGGTTCCCTGCAAGCCCTGCCTTTCTGAACTAATGCACTGCAGATTTGTGTCCTATAGACTGTGAAATTAGGATTTGCTTGTGAGCCAGTCTGAAAATCATTTTTAAAAACATTGTTGTTCTGGATTTTAAACTTGTATATATGGCTGGGGAGATAGCTCAGTGGTATAAGCACCTGCCTGCCAAGTGCAATTCCCCAGTACTGCATGCTGTGCTGGCCCCGCACCAAGCTGGGCACCAAAACCGGGCATGTTGGTGCATGCCTGTAATCCAAGTGCTGGGGAGGCTGAGACAGGAGGATCACTAGGGCTTGGAGCTGCACAGTGAGACCCTGTACCAAATAAAGTATCAAAAAACCCCATATATCTCCCTATCTATCTATCTATCTATCTATCTATCTATCTATCTATCTTATCTATCTATCTGTATTACTCTTTTAGATAAAACTGGACATGAACCTATCTAATATAACCAGGAAAAAAAAAAAAAAAAAACAAACCACAAAACACTCAACACAAGCAGAGACCAGACAGAACACATGGGGAAAGGCAGTTGCAGTAAAGCTCACACAAGAAAGCCCTGAGCCCCACCCCAGGCCACCACTGACCCATACCACAGGTTATGCAGCCACAACAGCTAATCCTGACACAGCCCAGAAACAAAGCCATGCCACCCCTGGAGAAGATGTACGTCAAGGTTCTAGAACATACCACCTGAGGGGGAAGGAATGCCTTGAACTCTACTTAAATTTCTTGACACGTAGCTGTGGCTTACATCTGGGTAGCTTTGGACAGGCAGTGAGGCCTGACACCAACTAATCTGCAGGTCTCACATTTATAGGAAGTGTAACCCAGCGGATCACTAACTGCACAGGGACCAAAATCAACCCACAGACACTGAAGAAAGAAGCAAGACACATTTTTAAAGGTTTTGGATTCAGTTTTTAAAAAGCAGTTGATTTATGAACTTCCCTTAATTTGCAGAATACAGACTATTTCCAAAATTTAGACATAATACTTGGTCCTTCTGATCTTTTTAGGTGGGGGGTAGAAGACTGGGCCATCTTCACAGACCATCATTGACTGTGTGGCAGTGACCCTGGACAGCCACACTTCCTGCTTTGGCAGCTCCCCAGGCTCCGTGCAGTTCCGCAAACGGAAGTCCTCCTTAGTGAAGCACAGCTCTATTTGACTAATTGTTTGCACATTCTCACCCTGAAAATAAAAAGTAACAGATGCTTAAAAATCGAGACCTTGGAATAGCATCAGTTTGGGGAACATGATACTTCAGAGAGCTGACCTAAGATGACAGGAACAGGGGCTCCAGACCTAAGACTCCGGGCTCTAGAAGTAGCCCCTCCACCAACAGAGGAAGCTGGCCAGCACGGTAGTAACAGCTGAGGTGACTGCACTGTGGACAGGGCTCCTCTGAGGCTTGCTCCCCCAGTCACCCCGGATGCTTACCCCCCCTAGCCCTATGTGAAGGATATGTATTTGGCTTGGAGAAAAATTTTAAAAACATTTACAAGGATTCATGCAGACCCCAAATGGATACACATCAAGACACTGGAAGAATAAATAGCATTTAAAGGGGTACAGCACCATACTTCTAAAGCAAGTCTTTATCAACTAACAAAATGAAACAATTTTGTCAATAAATTGGACAAATGACTGCAATTTAAATGATTTAGACTAGTAACATGAAGCTCAGGCATTTTCTAATTATCTATTTCCACCTCCCTACATGAGCATCCTTCTAGGTTAGGCATATTGTTAGAGCTAGGTGGCAAGAGAGCAAATCCTAACCTAGGATTGTGGGGGGAAAAACACTTTGGTTGTTAAATACACATACACACACACATGCCTGTGCTCACACAAGCATCCAGGCACACGCCTGTGCACACACAGCATATGCTCACACACGTGCACATAGGACAAGGACACAGACACGCATGCCTACGTACAATTCCACTTTGAAATCATCACAGTGAAAATAGAAAGAATGACCAAATGACATGCCTGACCTGCGTGGATGGAAGACACTGGATCTTAGGGACAACGCCATAGATTCTGGTAAGCGCATCTTTAAAATCTGAAATCTGACATGAAATGAAAGTGTATTAGACACAAAACTTAACTGGAAAAACTGAATAGTTCTGCTCCATGTAGAATGCAGTGTTCTAGTGACTGGTCCTCCTGGGGGCTCCCCAGCCTGGAGAAGCTCGAGAATGCCCTCCCCTGCTGCCAAGGGGAAGCCAGCAGCAGCACCCACCCCGTCCTCCCACCACTCCCTTTCCTCCTCTGCATCCACTTTTCTCCCCCGGAGCAGCCAAACTCCACCTTATTGTCTTGTTCCATCCCACTGTCTCTCCTGGCCAGAGCTGCCCTACCTAAAATGCCCAAAAGACAGCTACCTGTGTCAACCAACTTCTATTTTGTCTTCTGTGGCTCTCAAAGCTTTCTCACTCCTTCCACTCTAAGCTTTTGTTCCCCTTGCAACTCTCCACCGTAATTACCTCTTACATCACAAAAGATCTCTGGGAGCACCCACCTTCCATCCCAAACTGCACACTTAAGTACAACCTGCAGGTGCTCTGACCTGCTCCATCTCAGCAAAAGGAGCCCCAGACATCATGACAGACACCTCCATCGCTAGTCTTCTGTGTTCTTTCTCTTTGGAGTCAAACCCCACATGAGGACAAGGGCCCCTCTCAATCTGCATGCTTTGCAGTGGGTAATTCCTATGCCCCTCGGCCCACACTGACATAGGGCCGCCCTCCAGAGCTCTCCGCTCCACCCTCCCCTCTAAACTTTGCCTCTTGGTCCTGGTAGAATCCTCAGATTGTAATTATCCAGGCAGATCCAATTGCCCTTCTCCATCGGTCGAGTCCCATGGTGGCCTGGGCCTTGTCCTCCACAGCCAGGCCTACCTCCTCCACATGGTCTACCCACAGCTCCCTGAAGGGCAGTCATTTCCTCCACTACTCCACCCCCACTCCAGCAGCAGACAACTGGGAGACACAGGTCTGCTCTGGAGCCCACACTAGTGCTGCTCTGTGATGATGTCCTCACGTCATAATGTGATTGGCTGGCCTTCTCTCACATAGCACTCTGCTCTGCTCCTGGTCTTTGAAGAGGTGTCCATTCCTGCCCTCCAACACAACCTGCCTCTCCTCCTTAGGATACTCTTCCTCAGGGCCTCTGCCTCCAGGAGGCTCCACCTCCCAGGAAGCTTCTGCCCAAGCAGCTCCCTGTAAGTGTGCCTGCAAGGCAACTGCTCTGCCCATAAAGCCAATGTGTGGAAAGGGCCTGGATGGAAACCTGAGGAAAGTCAGACTCAGTGTGATGGACCGGGACCTCTGCCTGAGCCCCTGCATGCATTCTGACACCTGGCAGAGAGCTCAATGACAGCTGTCATTGCTGCCCCCAGATCTCTAAGTACCAAACTCTGGGTAAAAATACACAGCCCATTCCCCTCACTCCCATCACACAGTTCAGACGAGGACCAGAGGCCTTGCCCATGCTCACAGCTGCTGGCTCGTCCTTGACTCACTGTTCTCACATACTCTACTCTCCATGGACAACACAACAGGCAGCAACTGGGAAAATGACTACAGCCTCACAGACGCCAATGAAGGCGAGACAAAGGCACCACTTAGCACACCAACTGCCAAGGCCACAAAAACTCTTCAACATCCAGAACCACAGAACTGCTAAAATCAGTTGCTTTCAGCCTTTCTTTAAATCCTTTCTGTGTGATAAATACAAAAGCTGCCTCAAAGAATCTGATATATTTCTCAAAAGCTAGCGTCCTCCCCTTTTCCACAGAGGCATAGATAGCATCTTGGGCCTTGCAGGTGATGCCCATCTTTGCTTCAGCTGGGACAGATCTGGACCACACTGCCCTGCCAGGAGTATGTACCAGCACCAGCGCAACACCTACAGTGAGTGTGGCTGCAGCCCGAGATCCAAGAGAATTTTGTTAGTAAATCAGACAACCTAGAAGTGAAAACGATGTTTTCTAGACCCTGCCCAGACAATAAGACCTACTCATACTTAAATTTCTGTATCATCCAGTTAATCATAGAAAAAAACAAAAAGTCCTAAATGACTTTCTTCAATTATAACATATTATCAAGCTGAAGGGGTTTTCCAAACTCATATTCCACCGATCCCTCAGAACTGGCAGCATACACACTTTCCAGCAAGGGCCATGGATCTGTGCTTCCAAGCCCCTGTCCTCATAGCCTTCGATTCATAATCAGTGTGCAAAAGAAAAAAAAAAAAAAAAAAAAAAAACCTCATGTAAAATCTAAAGTACACAAGTTAGAAGGGCATTTGGTCAGTATCACGCTTTCTATCTAGATGTCTCCCCCAAAACCTCATACACTCACAGGTGGGGCTTTTGGAAGCGACTAAATCATATGCATGATGTGGGTCCACTGACTGGCTCAGCATAGTGTGCAGACTGGATGAACAGGACAGGAAAGATGAAGGCTCACTGCTTCCTGCCTGCCAACTGATAAATTCTTTCCCTCTTCCAGCCCCTCTGCCACACCACCCTGCCTTGAACCAGCACTGTGGACTGAGACCTTTACAAAATGTGAGCCAAAATAAGCCTTTTCTTCTTTAACTTGTAGTTTTTAGATACATTGTCACAGCAATGAGAACATAACAAAGACAGTCAAACTGAGCGCAGCAGCC